TAAGCACCCTTCCATTCCAAGTAGGTACGGGCGACGACATGTAAAGAGGATATTCTTCACGAGTTGCTCAATACAACCGCCAGTGCTCATCTTGAAACGCGAAGAAAATATTGGTCTTTGCATTCTAGGTACGTCCGGTCCATACCATCAACCCGCGCCTTGGCGACTGTGGTGAAGATGATGTCCTAGACCGTAGCGACGTTGTCGGAGCTGCTCGATGTTGGAGGTCTTCCAGATCAAGAGTACTGGTCTCCAGGTAGCTATCCATGGGTGACTCCATACAGAAGTTTCGCAGCTGTTTGGAGGTGACGTGAATTCCATAGGCCTTCTCGAGTGAGGCTGCGTTTGGAGATATAATTATATTTATATTTATTACATGCCCGCTGGGAGCATGTTGAACCAACGTGAAACATCAGAACCAAACATAACAAATCAAACAATCAATTGAATGTTTAAAAAAGTAGTAATAATAGCAATTAAAGGAGAGGCAGTGTATGGAGATGGCTTCATATTTTGGTGTACATGAAGGTGATGGGCGAGAGCCAGCTCCTGCTTATCGAGGAACATCTTGGGTATCTTCCGCCCTGGTACTCGTATCCACGTCTTCTCTCTGGGCTGCGTAAACTTTACTGATATGTGACTCGGCCAAAGTGTTTTTTATTGCCCCTCCCCTGTATATGTGAAGTGCGACTTTTAACTAGTCAGCTAGCTTTTTAGCTTCCACGCTTCCTTCTTCACCAGACATGCCAGAAACAAATCTTGCATTTCTTGTCTGAAAGTTAGAACACCAACAGTTCGAAATAATAAATCTTACCTTTTGATGACATCATCTGGCAAAGCCTTCGGTACGAGCGCATTAAGTATCAACCATGAAGAAACATTTATAGTGTTCACCAACATTTGCTGCAACAGAAACTATTAAAAGGATTCATGAAATTAGCGAAGGATAGCTCAGAGCGCGTTCATACTACCCCAGACAATTCAGCAAATAAAAACCTCGTTTCTATAGCCGTAAATTGACAACAAATCCAAATAGCAACCTGTTGCAAATCAAGGGTAGTCAATAAGCGAGTGTTCGACTGCACAACACGCCAATGTTGACAAAAAATAACATTCTGACATTACCCCCTTTCTTACCTTCTTCTAATATTGTATTTACATGGAAACATTTCATTTTGAGTTCTTGTTTGAGGGGGGGGGGGGGCACCGTGAAGGCGGCGTTAAAAAAAGCTTCGATTCCGTGCAGCTGCGACTACATTGCACACTCATCCTCAGTGCTCAACTGCTTTGACACCCCCGGCTCATTTCGGGTGGGGCGCTTCAACGGTTTGCGTCGATCGTTGAAGCTTCATGCTGAGACTTGTAAACCTTTGTAAAGCTATACAATGGCATGAGGTTTGTTTACACATGACAGGAGTCTACAAGTCTCACCTGGGTTAAACGCGTAACTCAAAAGAAAGAAAGAACGTGAAAAGGCCTCCCCCCTCTAAAGCCTACAGAGCATACTCGACCCATCCTTAAACAGCTTTGCCTCATTAGCGAATCATCTCACCAAGGAAGTCCGCCAACTTACCATGGAACTTTGAATGGAGACCTGGGTAGATCGATAGAGTATAAGGTTATTTACAAATATAGATAGCAAAACTGCAATTTGCATTTCACAAGCAACTTATGAGCAGGTAAGCGAGGATCGCATACCTCGAATCTAGTCCTCGGACGTCGAACCTTACCAC